GGGGCTCGCAGGTGGGGACACCGGTGCTCCTGCCAGCCCCCCGTGCCTGTCACTTAGGTGGGAAGCGTGACCTGTCAGGGGGTGTACCAGCACTCTCAGGGGGTGTATATGTACCCCCTATGCATCACCACTGGTTCAGAGCCCCAGCAGTCCACCTCAAAACTTTAGGGCCATAAATGAATTGTCCAAAGCTTAGCATCCAGCAGAAGAAACCACCATGACTATACTAAGAAAACTACCAATTGCTGATACTGGGGTCAGTAGTATTGCAGCTGAATGTGGAGTAACTACAAAGGGAGACGAGAACAAGTAATGTTCAGCACCATGTCAAAAACGGTGTTTAAACCCGAGCATGCCAAGCAAGCTTTATTTTATGATGTTCAGCACACATGTAACTCACCCATTTTCAGTCATAGGTCATTTCTGTTGACATAAACAAAGATCTACTAGCGATTTTAGGGGAAAAAGCAAATCTGGTGAATCCAAAGGAGTAATGCAGGACAATTGTTGATGCATCCTGAGAGTAATTTTCTGGGCAATAAGTTGCTTAACAGGAAGCCAATGAAGCAATTGCAGTGGGAGTGATTTGCTGTGATAGGTTAGTGGGAGTAATTACCCTAACAGCAGCTTTCTGAAGCATCTGCAGATGCCATTACACCTTATGAGGTAGTTCACTGAGCAGTACTGAGGCCATCGCTCTCAGACGTTCTAGTTAATCAGAAGTATTGGAGCTATGTTGAAGAGTTCCAGCGATATTAATAGTCTCTGACATTTCAAATAAAAAAACCAGCATCTCTATGTTACTAAATAAAAACAAATTCCAGATGTGTTTCAGAGATGGTTACCAACAAAGCTGACTCTGCCAGTCCTATCACTTAGAACTATTTTACAGGTGCTGTAGGATGTGTCGCCGGGTCCTTTAATTGGTGAGCCACGCTAATTAAAGCACCTGTGTCATGTATCAGCATCCTTGTGCGTCCCCATGCTGAAAAAATGGTGGCAGGGCACTGTGAACTAAAGCTCATAGAACGTGTTTTATTTCAAAGCACCCCACTGCCATTTTTTCAGCACAGGGACACTGATACGTGTGATGCAGAAGGTTGCCAGAGCGCGTCAATTTTTGTGCTCCGGTAGACTCAATGAATCAAGCCTGCTCCAACATGTAGGATTCCCAGTGCATTAGAGCAGGCTCTCTGCATGTCTGTAGGAGCCCTTAGTCTTCTGCCTTAATTGTCTTTTCTAATCTTCTCTCCTGTACTCCTCACTGTAGAGTGCATCACTAATTGCATCAAGCAGCTTTTGTTGCACTGTATCTATAAAAGAAAGAAATAGCTTATCTCTATTAATTTGATAACTGCACTTACTGTGACCTTTGTGGGTCAACTTTGAGGCATCCATAGCCCAATATGTACTATAATGTCTCTCTCTGATTGCTGATTATGAAGCATTTAGAAATGAATTTATGAAGATATGTTGACCTGGTTTAACTCTGTAATTTGGTATTTTGGTTTATTGCCATGGCTAACTTCATGAATCACAACTGTGTCCTGCTGTTCTCATCGAAAGGGAGGTTTTGAATTTGTCTTTTTGCACAAATGATTTAGGATGTTCAATGTTAGCAAACACTGCAAGAAAGTTCAGGAGGAAAGAACATAGCCATGTGATCTGGTAATGCATCGACAGATGAAATAAAAGCGTTGACAAATGCAAGGTAATGTACATGAAAGGAATCATCTAAATTAGTCAAACCGGTTCCTGGGTTTTATATGTGCAGCGGCAGTCTTAACCAACAAACACAAACAACTTATTTGGTTGTGTAAAGAATGGTACAGAAAATGAAATCTAGAATACTACAATTCTGTCATAGCAAACAGTATGGGCTACCAATGTCCCTCCATTAATTTCAGTGGAGCTATAGTAGAGATTAATTTGGTTCCAAATGGATTAATAAAATAAGTAAATGTATAGCTAGAGAATACATTAGCAAATCCCATTGTAGTCTATCAGCTCTTTCTGAAAGGTTTGTAATGATTCAATCTGGAAGTAAAATGCATACTACTTTTTTCAATTAATTCCTCATATCAATTATCCCCTAATTTTTTTCATTAGGATAGACCCCACCGTATGACAGAATAGGCAGAAAGCTATAGTCCTTTAGTACTGGGAAGCTTGTAAACATGGGTTGTAGGTTCTGCTGTCTCTCTGAGGGCTGGATCCTGCTCTTACTGAAGTCATGACAAAATTCCCAATGGAGAAAAGACTGGTTCATTGCTGTTCCACTTAGTGGTTTGTGTGTAAATCAAATGTACTGTTAAGGGTATTTTATTCCAAATGTAGGTGTGTATGTGTTTTTTTTTTTAAGGGTTACCTGAGCACACTAATACATGCTCTGTCTTGTTAACAAGATACAGAAGCCGGAGGATATATATTAGTAAGAGGCTCACAGAATACAGTATCTGAGTGTGGCGTGCCTCGGTGCTGGGTGGGGGTTTGATTATGTAAGTTACCTGCTGTGCATGGCTCATAAACAGATACAGCAAGACTGCAGCATTTGCAGAGGGCTGTCATATGATACACTGGATTACAGATAAACAAGCTAAAATGTCTTTGCTATTTAGGAGCCCAAAAGCCTTGATTCCTACTACCATTCTGAGTATTATATGTACTAGGAGATCTCAACATATCAAGATTAGCAAAAAGAAAATAACAGATTAAATTCTTCAGTTACATAAAATATCTCTAATCCTTTTTGTAGACCCCTGCATGAAGAGTACTGTGTTACACCACTGACAAATGTTGTTCTGAAGCCAATCTGACTGGCTATTGGAAAACTATTCTGGCATAGGAGGATCCTCCATTTGTTGAGAGTTCATTGCCCCTCACCTACCAGTGGCCAGAATAGAAAGGGAAGAGAGGGAATGACCCCACAGTGTGGGGCATCTCTGTGCTGTAGAGATCCTCAG